AGTAGTTTATTCAATTCATTTAACCTCTTATCAACTTCGGATGACCTAATAGCAACTCATCCACACATAGAAGTTAGCCAAGCAACGATCAAACTCCGGGGATATCACATATATATATATTTATTGTTAAAATATTTAATATTATATTATTAAATTAAATAGGAATATACAAACAATAAAATAGTAATAATTAAAAGGTAGATATTAGTTAATATATCATTATTTGAATAATTAATGAAATAAAATTAAATGGGACCAAGAGTGAACCAATTGATGAGGTGGTTACAACTTACAACTCAAAATCATGTTGAAGATCCCAACATCAAGTTCATTGTTTGGTTAGGTTTGTTTGATCTGTGTTTGAGCTTTTAAGTTTTTTTCTTTTTAATTTAAATAGTATTTTGATATAATATTTTATAAAAAAAATACTATATTTTAATTTAAATTATATGATTAAATTATAAAAAATTGTTTTGAAATGCAAATTAAAGAAACCCTTGCAAAGAGAAAGATGATGTTTAGCTTACATACAGTAAATGTACGACTTTGTGTTTTTAGAATAATGTGTTTTTTATGTTAGGTATAAGATGTATCAGTAATATAAAAAATAATATTTTACGTCAAATTGCTTAATTCTTGTAGGTGAATATAATATATATTATAAATATTGTATTAATACATATTATATATATTTTTATAATTTTTCTTGTTATTAAAAAATAAGTTGGGTGAACAAATTCGATATTGATTTAGGGATGAATACCATTTCAATAGTTTTTTTTTATTATTTTAATTTAGATTATATTTTATAATATTTTGGTATTTCTTTTTAGTTTTTTGTTTTAATATTATTGTACTAGCCTATTTCCCGTGCTATGCACGGGTAATTATAGAATTTATGATATTAATTTAATTTTTATATTTTAAATAATAAATTTTATTTTGATAATAAAATTTTGTATGAAAATAGCTAAAAATTAATTTATATGGAAAAATAAACTATAAATAAAAAATACAGTAACTAAATCAAATAAAAATATTAAGTAAGCGAATCAAAATTTCATAAATATATATTACAATTTAAATTCAAACATAATAGAGATAAAAAAAGAAAAAAACTAGTAGAAAATAAGATAATACAATATATAATTTTAAAAATACATATACAATAATGAAGTATTAAAACATTATACTCGAAACTAAATAAATTAGTATATAAATATATCATAAGAATAAAAAGAATCTATTAGTAAAAAATTAAAATTAATTTAATAAAATTAGTATACATAATAAAATAAAATAAAAAAATAAAAAGACAAAAAATTACTATACGTGATTTTTTGTTCTTCTCATTCTTTTTTTTCTTTCTCTTATATAAAAGAGATCATGTGAAAACCCTTTAAAAAGATAAAAGAAATAAAAAATCACGAGTTTTTCAAACCAAAACCAAAAGTAGAAGATTCACAATAATGAAATAAAATATAAGAGTTTTTAAGAATATATATAAACATGCTCAATCATTATTAGATCAACCAATAAAAATCACATATTTAAGAAAAATAAAAATAAAAAAACAAACCTAAAAATTTTGTCAAAACTGTCATTCCGGTCGAACTACATATATCCAACCAATAATCCCAACATTTGAAAAAGCAACAAATTACGAACACTTCTTGAAATTTCTTGATTGGTCTGGATTGTCAATTTTCCAAACCTGCACAATGTTGGATGAAAATGTCATAATAATTTTTGTTATGACGATTTTGGCTTAATCTCTTAGGCATATATAGATATACAAAACCCTAATTTTATACATATTTTGTTATTTATTATCTCGATAAATTTGAATTTTGTTAAATTAGTTGTTATCCTAACAAATTTTAACTAATTATCCAAACTTATTATTTAAAAAATTTAAAAAAATTCCAAAATTATGAGAAAACACAAATTAAAGTGTCTTGTGCCATATATATTAATATATACAATTTTTTGTTTTTATAAAATTATTAATATTTCCTCATAAAAAAATTATTTTTAATTATAATGTAAATCAAAATTTAAACTCAAAACACAAATCAAATGCAAAGCAAACACACTCAAAATTTCTACTTAATAGATTGTACAAAAAAAACAACCTTTATACATAAATAATTAGTATATTGTACTGATTTTTCTAAATAGCATAAGTCTAGAATGCACAAAACATAACTAAAGAGTTCAGATAGCATATAATTTATATTAATATAATACAAATATAACACAAAAACAACAATTATATAACATATTCATATAGAGCACATGATATATTTTTATAAAACACATGACATTGTGATGATTTTTCTAAATAATATCGATTTAAAAATTTTAAAAAAATTGATTAAGAATACAAAAAACTCACATTATAAATATAGTACATGCTATTTTATTTTATAGGGCAAAGTACTACCTATACTTTTTGTAGCTACGAATACAAATAAGTAAATAATAATTTAATTAAAAATTATTGTCTTAGCCACTACAACCCCACAAGAGGGTTAATATAAATTTTGTTTGTGTTAAAGTAATTATAATTTACTTGTGATTCAAAAAATTTGTACAATTTTTTTTTTTCATAATTAAAAAATTGTATGAGATTATCTTATATTTTTAAAATATTGCATAAAATATTTTTTTAAGGATTTTTCTACAATACTTTTTGAAAATATGATCGAGTTTCATGCAATTTTTGAATGAATTTTGTACAATAAATTTTAAAATATGAGAAATTATGAAAAATAAATAAATAATAATAATAAAATTTTGATATAATATTTCTTCAAATAACAAAATTGCATGTGTTCCTTTTAAGATTATATTTTATTCTGCCATGTTATATATAAACTCAAATACTTGTATACATGTATTTGTTGGAAAACAATTTTTTTTTTTTTTTTTACTACTGTTTTTCAAGAATATTTTTCATTAATATTTGTTCAATATTTGAAGGATATTTAACATCAAAAGAACAATATTTGGTGACAAAATTAGTATGTTAGAATAGAAAAATTTCCAAATTCTTATCAATTAATTGTTAGTTAGAATATTAACTTAGCCGAATCTTTAAATAGATATTAGCTCTAAATGGTAGACAAAAGTGAAGAATCAATCTTAAAAGAGAAATCAACTTATTATAGTAATTTACATCGACTAAGAAAATAATTCAAAAACACTTTATTTAGAGAGATAATCATTTAGAGAGTTCTTGAGTGAAATAGTCGATCAAGTACACAAATCGGTATCCTTAGAGTAAGATTTAAGAGTTCAAACTTGGTCAACAAATCGGTATGTTATTTACATGTACACAAGAACACGCCATAAGAGTATTCTTTTGGGGTTTAATCAACTTTTTTTTTTAATGGCAAAATTACTTATGACTCATGGTGTAGTGTATTTATTTATTTTTTTAATAATAAAATTACTTATGATTCAATTACGGTTTAAAATATCTAATTTTCTTTTTATTATTATTTAAAAATTGAGTGAGACTCTCTTGTATTTTTAAAATATTGCACAACATTCATTTTCCTAGAACATTTCATGCAATAGTTTCAAAATTACAAGCACTACACACACACACACACAAAAAAAAAAAAAAAAAAAAAAAAAACCTATTTTTTAATCACGGAAATTAGCAGTGAATTATTCATAGAATGTGATTCCATGAGTAATCTTAGTTTTTAGGAGATTTTGTACAATATTATCTAAAACACGAGGAAACCTTATGCATTTTTTTTTTTTTTTTTTTATACTGAAAAATTCCATGATTAATTTCAATGTTTTGTAGTGAAGAGAGCCTCATTTAATTTTTAAGGGATTATGTGCAATATTTTCTAAAATACGAGGGAGTCTTATGAAATTTCTAAATCACGAGGGATTATGGTGCCGATTTTCTAAAATACGAAGGAGTCTTATGAAATTTCTAAATCACGAGGGATTATGGTGCCGATTTTCTAAACTACTGGTGAATTATAAGCAATTTTACTTTTTTTATTATTGATTTTTCATTAGTTTTGTTTTGGCGGGGGAGGGTGGGAAGGGGAAAGGATTTTTATAGACAATTGGACGATGGTATAACTAAAAAATTCAACAAAAATCCAAAATAACACTCTTTAATTACTTAGGGTGTTAATTACATTATTTTTTAATTTCATGCAATATGTGTGTATTTGAGAGAAATGTTGACATGTAAAGACAACATGGGAGAGAAGCAAAGTAGGACATAAAATATTAAAATTTCTCATTTAATTAATTAATTTAATAAATTATATTCAATATCACAATTCACCATCGAGAAAATAAAGAAGATTTTCATCTCCAAATTTTACTAAGACGTAGCTCCGTGATTTAACATATTATACTTCTCCTCAATGTATCAATTTATATTTTGCATATAAAATTTAAAATATTAGTTGTGAGAACAAATTTTATAAACGATTCATAAATTGTATTGTATTTATATTAAAGAGGAGGAATAGACGCGACATTTGACTCCCTTCAATGGATAAAATTAAATCTAATATAAAACTAAATAACTAAAATATCTCAAACATCCCTTCAAACTCAAGTGGTGTTTCATAACCAACTTGAGTATCTATGTACTCCCTCCGTTCCAATACAATAGTCTTGTTTATCATTTTTGTCCGTCCCAAAACAATAGTTCAATTTCTATAAATAATCATATTACTGTAAAATTACCCTTATTTTTTCATTATTATTACACAATTGTCACTATTTTTTACACTAATACACTCACAAGGGCAAAAATGTCTTTTATCTGTACTTTTTACCCGCTACCAATATAATATCAATATTTTTTAAATCTCGTGTCAAACACAACCCAGACTATAGTTTTCAGATGGAGTGAGTATTATTTTGATTTGATATCTTATTGGAGAGAATAATTAAATATATATATATATATATATTTAGAGAGGACAAAAATAACAGAAAAAAAAAATTACTAAAAGAACATAACCAGCATATAAACTATTATTATTGATATGGTTAGGAAACAAAATTAACTGAATGTGCAAAAAAATAATTATCACATAAATAATTAAATAACTAAATAAAAGTACTAATGGGAATAACTAATGAGTGTTTACCAAAATATTCTTTCTAATTGTTATTATTATAATAATAATAATAATAATAATAATATTAATGGAATGATAACAAGCTGTTGAGTCCACTCTGCAAATTAATAATCTTTTGTCTTTGATCATCCATTTCCCACAAGGGCTGTCTACTTCCCTGAAATATTTATATTATATAAAAAAAAAAAGTTAAACACTGGAAAATATAAAAAATTATATAAATCAAATAATACAATTCAGTATTATTAAGTAATATACATGAATATATTTATTTTTAATATAAATATACTAAATAAAAATTTTAATGTCAGGATTTTGTACACAGTAAAATATAAAAAATAAACTGAAAACACAGTATATATATATATATTTTTATATATGCAAATTAAAATATAAATTATTCTAAATATACCTGGGAAAGAATGGAATTGGCAGAATTTTCCAGCAGATACAAATTATTATTATTATTATTATTATTATTATTATTATTATTGTTGTTGTTGGCTGGTGGGAGCTGACTGCATTCTTGTATGGTTGGCAAATTAATTAAATCCTGCCATTAAAAAAATAATAAAAAATAATTTAATAATTTAATTTAATTTTTTCAATATAGATATATCAAGAAAATAATTAAATAAAATATTAATTTTTTGATGTACCTGATCAGGCCTGACCATGAATGACTCTAAGTCCATGCCAAAGTCATAGAACATAGGATTCAGTGAAGCAAGCTTCATTGATAGAAACTGAAAATATATATATATATATATAATAATAGATTAAATTAAGTTAAATTAAGTAAAAAAATAATTTAAATAAAAAAAATAAATAAATATTAATTAAATAAATAATGACCTCCACTTGATTTTGGAGGGACTGAACATAATTGATAATTTCATCCAACATGAGGGCCTTTCCAGTTACCTGTTTACACTCATCCCACATGAAATGTTGTCAGAATATTATAAAAAAATAAATACCTATTTAAATATATGTAGGTTAATAAAATTAATTTGAGGAAATTTAAAATTAGATATAGATGAAAAATTAAATTAAATTAAATTAAATTAAAATAAATGACCTTGTCACATCCAGGAACAAGTGCCTGCAGCAGCCTCATTCTCTCACTTATTCTCTCCCTCCTCACCTGAAAATTATGACAATTATTTTATAATTAATTTTAGTAATTTCATATAAAAAATATCCTTTTTTATTTATTTATTTTTTTTACCGTATACTCTCTTTGTCTCGTATCTATCTATCCATTTACTTTTTGCATCGAGTTTTAAAAATATTAGTATTACATTAAAATGTAATAGAAATAAAGGAAGTGTATTATATTAGTAAAAAGACTAAATTACCCTTATTAGTATTCTATAATATATATAAAAAAGAAAGAAGTAAATTTATAAGTGGTTGATGGCTTGGTGTTTTTAGATGAATTTATTTTTTATATTATGCATAAAAATTTGTGATGATAATATAAAAAATAATATTTTGTATTAAACTGTTGAAATTGAATAAATAAAATGTATGATTATGTTGTATATTGTATTAATATGTGCATAAAATTTATACTCTCTCTGTCCCGTTGGAAGGGTGACGTTTGTTTTTTGCTCGTAGATTTTTTAATATTAGTATTATATTGGATTGTAGTAAAAAAGACAAAAATACCCTTATTAGTATGGTGTAATATAAAAGTAATGACATTTGTTTAATATATTGTAAGTTGAAAGGGTATTTATTATGTTAAGTAGGTAGTACAATTACTAAATTAGGAAATGATAACCTTGTTTTGAGACGGACGAAAATGGAAAAAAGTAACCTTTAATGAGTCGAGGAGAGTATTTTTTTTTATAATATTTATAAAAAACTGTGCTAGGTAAAAATACAATGGAAACAAACCTTAAGATTAAGTATAAAATTACAAGATAAAACTAATAATCAAACATATATTTTGAAAACAGTAAAATTGTTGGCATTTAATGTAATATTTTATATAAAAAAAATAATTATTATTTAATACAATTTTTTTTTTAATATTATTAATTAATAGTATAAATTTTTTTAAAACTATATATACTGAACTTTGAATTTTGAAGTTAGGTAAGAAAATAAACAACTGTATGCTCTTTTTGTATGTTTCGATTTTTATTTTTATTTTTAAAATAAAATATTTGTTGATATTTGTTTTTTTTATAAAAATAAATACTACTGTATGACTTTATTATGAACGTTATTTTAGAAAAATAAAGTCTTTTTGTTTTTTCACTTTTTATATCTTTTAACTTTATTATTTCTACAATGAAATAATAATTCGATATGATACTATAAAAAAAATTAATATTTTTTATTTTTTATTTTTTTTTCTTTTTTGAGATATCGATTTTTCTTTTTTCAAAATTTGTTTATTAACACATGCATTTCATCTTTTATTCTTCTCGCACAATTTATAAAATTAGTACATAAATGAAAGATATATAAAAAAAATATTGTCTTTAAACATTACTAAGTCTTTATTTTATATATAAAAACATTTTTACTTTTATATTTTAATTTAATATAATACTCTCTTCGTCCACACACAAAGTAAACATTTATTTTTGACGCGGTGTTTAAGGTAGTTAAAAATAGTAAAATGACATTTTTGTCCTTATTTTTTTTATGTAAAAGTAATAATATGATGTAAAGTAAGAGTATTTGTGAAAAAAAAAGTGAGTAATTTAATGAAATGTTTACTTTGTAATTGGACGTCCCAAAATATAAATATATATATTTTCTAGCTGAACGGAGAGAGTAATATTATTGTATAAATATAGATTCAAGAATAAATCGTACTATAATGAGTCCATAATAAACAAATATGTATATATACATATACACTGTATTTGACACACAAAAATGATATACTCCTATTTCGAATAGACAAAATAAATAATATATATTATACTTTATCCGTAGTATAAATTTGTGTTTAAAAAATTAAATACATGTTTTAATAAAAGTAGATAATATTTGTTACAGTTTTATAATAAAAAATATAAAAAAAACTTTTTTTATTTTAAAAAAGAAACAATTTATTATTATTATTATTATTATTATAATAAGATCTTGTACTATAAATACTATCATAGTTATTTAACTATATTCTCGTAAATGACAAAGAGAACAAAATAAATTTGAATGACAGAATAATACATAAAATAAATATAAATTTGAATATAAAAAATATATACTATATATATATATTCCGTTCGTTCATGAAAATTAGTACATTATGGAACTAGTACATTATGGAACGACACAAAAGAATTAAAAAATATATATATTTTTATTAAAAAATGATAAAATAAAGAGTTAGTTTGGGGCATTTTTAGAAATTTGGTTTGAAATTAAAGTAAATGACGAGAAAATGTAATAAAATTAGTGATATTTATTGTAAATAATGTTGAATAAAGTGTAATAATTAAATATTTATTTATTGATTTTACTAAAATTAGTAATAAGGTAAATTCAGCTGATGGACAAAAAAAATGAATATAAATTTGACTTACAAAAAAGTGTACTCCCTCCGTTCTAATACAACAGTCTTGTTTATTATTTTTATCCGTCTCAAAACAATAGTTTTATTTTTATAAATATTCATATCACCTATTTTTTCATTTTTATTATACATTTTACACTACTTTTTACACTAATATACTCACAGAGACAAAAAAATTTTTATTCATACTTTTTTTCACTATCAATATAATATTAATATTCATTAAATATTGTGAGCAATCCAATTAAAATTATATTTATGAGAAGGGAGTATAATACTCCCTCTGTCCACACACAAAGTATACATTTACTTTTGACGCGGTGTTTAAGAAATAATAATATTTTAATTATAATGGGTAGTTAAAAGTAATGTAATGACATTTTTGTCTTTGCTTTTTGGTGTAAAAGTAATGATGTGATGTAAAGTAAAAGTATTTGTGGAAAAAATGAGATATTTAATAAAATGTTTACTTTGTAATTAGACGTCCCAAAATAGAAAAATATATACTTTTTAGCTGGACGGGAAGAAGTATATGTAGTAGAGGTATAGGTATATGTATAGTTATAGGTAGGTACCCTTTCAGCAAGGCTGTGGCTATCAGTAGCTTGGCCCCTCCTCGCCCTGACATGAATGTATTCTGTCCGATTCCGACCTTCTTCTAATTTCCTCTTCTTTCTATTTTTTTCTTCGTCTTCGTCTTCGTCTTCTTCTTTCTTTTTCTTTCTCTTAGTAGCCTTCTCCTGCAAATTAATTACAAAACCACAAACCCTAATTTTATTTTATTTCAATTAATTATTATTAACTCTATTCAATTCCTTTCAGCATTTAGTTGTATGTTTTTTAATCGAATTTTTTAAAATTTTATTATTTGAACTCTGTATTTTTTAAAATAAAACATAAAAAATTAAATATTATTTTAGTATTTTCTATTTTCTCCGTTTTAGATGAGTATATTACCGTAGATATGAGAATTTAGATATAGTATAATTAGTAATTAATTAAAAAAAATGTATAAGTAAAAATAATTATTATTTAATAAAAATAATTATAAATTAAGATTAAGATAATTAATTAAATAGTTTAATTAAAATTTAAAAAAATAAATTTTAAAATATAATTAAAGTGTGTAATCAATTTTTCAAAATAAAATGATAAACTATGTGGAACGGACGAAAAAAAAAAAAAACAACAAATTATATGGGACGAAAGTCCCAAACTCGAACTAATTTTTCTAATACTCAACCTAAAAGAAACACACACCTAATTAATTGATTATCTGAATATTATATATATATTTTTTTAATTTACAGTTTGGACCTTCGACTGTGCGGAATTTGCAGAAGACGACCCCTGCACCACCCTGCATTTTCTCTTCCTTCCGGCGGCGGCGGCGGCCTTCGGACCACCTCCTCCACCGCCGCCGCCGTACTTGTCCGTCACGACGGAAGAGGAATCCATTGCCGGCGCCGGCGCCGCCGCGGTGTTGAATTCAGGGTTAGGGTTTTCAGGCAGCGTCAGGTGGGGGAATAATTGGGAATAACCGCTGTTGTTAATGGCGGCGGCGGTGGTGGTGGTGGGCGCCGCCGGCGATGAGTGAAGTGGGAATGAGGTGAAGGCTGCCATGTTAGACAGAAAACGATGACAATGATGATCGAATTAAGTTTGAAGGAATCGTTGAAGACTGATCTGAATTCTGATACGACACTGTAAGAAGAAAGATATATATAAAGAAAGAATTTTCGAGAATTGGGGTTTGTGTCTGAGCTGGTGTGGAAGTGTATATATATATAGATACTAGTATAAAATACCCTCACGCCCCATGTCCGATTTTTTGTAAATATGAAAATATAAATAAGAATATAATTAGTAAATAATTAAAAAATATAAAAATAATTATTAATATAATTAATTATTCTAATTCAAATTATAAATTATAAATTTAAAAAAAATTAAAATAAAGTTTATATTTCAAGATACTAATAGACAATCAAATTATATAAAATAAATCGAAATGAAAAATAAAAATAAATTATATAAGACTGAAAGAAAAATCCCATTAGAGCCCAAAAATTTTAAGGCCGCTCAGAAGCCTTTTTCATGAATAGATATATATATATAGTATTAATATTACTTATATAGACTATAGTAGTTAAAAAAAATATATTAATATTAATAATTAAATATTCTTAAATCAATAAATAAAATATAAAAATATTTTTTCTAATTATTTATTAAAAAAAAAATTAAGTAAAGAGAAGTTTATATATTTCTTTTACCGGACTCCTTGAAACTCAAGAACGCCCTAGAGGGAAGAGTCGAATAAGGACACTAACTATAAATAAATAAACTCTCCATAGTTTATAAATAATTTGAATATATTATTTTTAGCAATTATTTTTAAAATTGTTGCTGTTTTTTAGTCTAATCACGCATCTCATATCTTATTTTTTTTAAAATAATTATATATTTTAATTATATTTTAAATTGATTAATTATTTTAATTTTTATATATAATTATTTATATTATACTATAATTAATTTTACGTTAATTACTCACTAGTTATACCATTTTTGAAATTTTATGTCTACAATATATACATAGTACAACATATATGGGATGGGGAGAATATTATTTAGTTTATATGATTACCGTATACGTAAGAATGTTTATGGATTTGATTTATGAATTTGGAATTTTAAATAGTAAAATTTTGAATCTAAACAAGTTTTTTATGCGAAATAAATAGATGTTGATGTAATATTTTGAATGTAAAACTAATTTTTAGTATAATAGAAAAAAAATAAAAAATACTATTAGTTATTTGATTTTGAACCATAAAAAACAATAAAAAAAAAAAAAATCACCAATCAAACACATCTTGAGTTTGTGTTTGAGTTTTACTTTGAAGTGATAACCACGTACACATGGCGCATGAAAATAAAGAGAAGCGCACTCGACTTTTAATGTACGATTATGTGTTGAAAATAAGCGTAGATGGTGGATCTATGATGAAAATTTCTCATTTTTATGGAACCAATTATCAATACGAAAAACATGAATGAGAGCATTCATCATCTAAATTGGAGAAGATGTTTGACAATCGGTTATAACTGGATAGGAACCCACTACAATGATCATTACTGGTGACACAAAATCATCAACATCATAGCCAACAAAAAGAGTTTTGAAACAGAATTCTCAATGGACTCAAGAAGAGATACATTTGACAAAAGCAAATTTGAAACATTGAATGCATTTCTCAGTGTTATTGCTGAAAAATAAATCAGGATTATCTCAACTTGTAAAGTTACAAAGAAATGATGAAATTATAAAGCAACTTTTGAAGATTATGATGAGGTATGTGCTGTCATATTACAACATATTGAAAGCATGCTTGATAGTTTTGACAATATATAAAAATAAAAATTCTCATTATTGTAATATTTTTATGGATATGATTAATCAAACTCATATGCTAAGACTTACTTTTGAGCAATCTAGTTAGTCAAGAAAATGTAAAAGGTGATTTGCAAAAAATTAGCTTAAAGAAGAAATGGAAAAATTAAATACGATGAGTCTTGAAGGTTTGATGAAAATTTTGCAAACTTATAAAATGAATCACTTAGAATATGATATTTCAACAAATTTTGCCCTTAAAACTAAAAGTAAATAAGATAGTGATGATGATGACGTTTCATATCTTCCTCAGAGAATTTTAAAATGTTTCAAGAAAAACAAGTAAAAAACAAAACTATTGAAAAAGAAATTATATAAAAGAAATTATGATGTTATCTCAACATCCTCCAAACCATCAAACAAAATTGGGAAGAAATATTCAAAATACATAAGTAAATCTTCAGAAAATAAGAAAAATGTTTGTCATGTCCCACAGAGGAGTGAAATGATAATATAGTAATGTAGCTAAATTCTATTCAATTAAACGTTGGAGGTTTAATAACAATTATAATTTCATGAAAAATCTCTCTTATTCTTTTATTACAATAGTTGATAATTTTTTGATATTCTTCTAAGCCCTTACCACTCGTCCTTGTGAATCGCCCTAACTCATGTGGCGTCCTCTAAATACATTTAGATGAAAATATAATTGTGAGCAAAGCTCAGTAGGTTAATATTTAAAAAAAAAAAACATATTTGTAACAACCCATAGAAAACATATAAAACACAATCAACTAATTTTAAATGCATCCACAATTGCATTGGTATATAATTCTAATTAAGAAGAGCCCAAAACAACATTTCGCCAGCTTACAACCTAAAACAACAATTTGTCAGCTTAAGACTCAAAAGAATTCAATTTATTTATTTCGGTTTTATATTTTATATCCGAAAATAGGAAACACTTTTAATGATATAAAACTACATTAATTCCATAGAACTTTATATGTATAGTCTTTGACTTTAAATGACATAGAGACTTGATAACACATTATTAAAACCTAATAAAGCTAAGCAAATTGAGTGTTGTGCGTGGTTTACCGAATCTAAAAAATGCATAAAAAATAATTTGTGGTGATTATGTAAAAGAAAAAGTATAAACAAACAATTCATATGATGTTAAATTTGCTACCATAAGATGCTTAGAATTTCTTCATATGAATTTTATGTGTTCTATTGAAATTGAAAGTTTATCTGACAAAAAAATATTTTTGTTTGTGTTAATGATTACTTATGTTATATTTGGGTTGATTTAATGCGAGAAAAAAGTGAAACATCCAAAGTATTTCAGAAACTATACCAAAAAATTATAAATAAAAATAATTTAAAAATAATTCGAATTTGAAGTGATCATAGTAAAAAGTTTGAGAATCAAAGTTCTGATGATTTTTGCAAAAATAATTGGCATACATCATGAGCATTCAACTTCTATGACACCTCAATAAAATGATATTATCGAAAGAAAAAATTGATCAATTTAAGAAATGATTAGATCAGTTATCTAAGTCAAGGAAGTCAATAAATACTTATGGACACGAGTTGTGAGTATTGCGTGTTATACGATTAATCGGGTCTACTAGCGATTCAAAACAAAAATGACTTACTATAATATATGAAGAACTAAAAAGCCTAACATATAATATTTTCATTTTTTATTTTTTTTGAACAAAGTGCTACGTTCTAAATGATAAATCACAGTTATACAAATTCGATTCAAGAACAAATGAATGAATTTTTTCTCCGATTATTTATCTAATAGTTGTGCATACAAAGTTTATAATCATCAAACCAATAAGGTAATAAAATCAATGGAAGTTAATTTTTATGATATTGATGATACCTTGATTGATGCAAATGATGACAATACAATAAGTGAGTTTGTTATACTTAAAAAGAAGAAAATGTTGATATCCAAAACAGACTATTGCGTAATTCTAATTATGCTCCTACTTCATCGGGACATTATCTGAAGACTAGATCAGATAATCATATTGATAAAAATCTAGAATCTGTTCAAAGTTCTACAAAAAAAAAAAAAAGTGTTTTTACGTTGCAAAGCATCACTCTCTAGATGTTATTAGAAATTTTGAAGATAAAATAATATTATAAAATAAAAAGATTAATTTCAAGGAATTATCAAATTTAAATTATTCAATGTCTAATGTTGATCTGAAATCAGCCCAAGAAGATTTAGAAAGTGAATTTTGGGTTGTAATACAATATAAGCTGATTAATGTTGGGTTGTGACGTGAGCTTACAAAATTATTTCAGATATTGTTTAAATTATCACACTGCTTCACTTTATTTTTTTTTTAGTTATTATTATGATTAATTGGTACTAACCTACTAATATTTTTAGTGAAAATTATTTGATTGCAAGAACAACCCAAGTCATCGATCCTAGGAGGAACAAATTTCTAACAATGGTATCAGAGCTTGGTTGGAATAAGACACGAGTTTGACGCATTTAGAAATCAGAATATTAATTTACCCTAGATTTGGTTAATGGAAAAGAAAAACAAGGAGTTGACGAGGTCTTGTTAGCTAGGAGTAAGTCACATAATTTAGAAAAAGTTGGCAATCAAAATAATAAGGGCAAGTGGAAAGGGAAGAATAGAAAGTGCTAAAATCGTCGGAATAAAAATTATTTTATAAATCAATGTCCACATCCTAAAGAAAACTTTAGAAACAAACAACGTGATGAAGCGGATGTGACTATAGAGGATGAGTTCGTAGGTAACGTACTTTGGTAAGATATAATGTTTCTATTATTGATCCAGTGTGGGAAATTGAATAGTTACCTAATGTTACCCTCGAGAAATTTATTTTCAATTTGTAACTCTATGCCGCATGCTTTTGTTGATACATATTATGCTTTTGTTGATACATATTATGTTAATCTAAAGTTTAATTATTTGGTTATATATTAAACTTTGAAATAAATTGATGTACTACAACTTGGTGTTCCTTATTGTGATTGTATATATATTTGCTGTGTTTTTTATATGCTTTGTATGCAATAAATGGTAAGTTGCACTATAAAGACAATGATGTTAGCATGTTCTTCACTCCTATTATGCCCTCCAAAGCAACTGTGATGATCGACTAAAAATAAGGGGAAGATCGTTGGATTTTATTTCTTTCCACCTCAACTAAGGACCCGATCCAAATCCAAACCCAACCTGATGAGGTATGATTTATAATCCTTAATTTCACAAACTGCTTCTTCTTCGCGATAAAGCTCTAGGCTGTTCTCTTTATGAGTCTTTTAGATTTGTTCCGGCTTCCTCGTTCTCCTCTGATAAGGTAAGTTT